CAGGACGTCTTTGTGTTTGCAGGTGTCCAGGGTGAGGTGCAGCTGGTGGAGTCTGGGGGAGCCGTGGTGAAGCCTGGGGGGTCTCTGAGACTCTCCTGTGCAGCCTCTGGATTCACCTTCAGTAGTAATGCCATGAGCTGGGTCCGCCAGGCTCCAGGGAAGGGGCTGGAGTGGGTCTCAGCTATTAGTAGTAGTGGAAGTAGCACATACTATGCAGACTCTGTGAAAGGCCGGTTCACCATCTCCAGAGACAACGCCAAGAACACGCTGTATCTGCAGATGAATAGCCTGAAATCTGAGGACTCGGCCGTGTATTACTGTGCAGCAGACACAGTGAGAGGAGGTCAATGTGAGTCCAGACACAAACCTCCCTGCAGGAGGGACTGAGGCCACCACGGTGCTCAAGGGCCTTAATACTAGGACCTNGTGAGCCCAGACACAAACCTCCCTGCAGAAGGGGCTGAGGCCACCAGGGTGCTCAGGGGCCCTGCGCACAAGGACCCTCCCAGGAGCAGGTGCAGTGGGCGGTTTGGGCTGTTTCCTGGCTGGTTTCCTGTTCAGGTCACAGTTTCCCTCAGGGAACCTTGTGGATTCCTGATTCTGTGCTTTCCTCTGAGATCTGTCATTTAGCAATGTGTGTTGTAAACAGAGACAACTTTCTCACATGACAACAAGGAGAATGTCTTTTTCACGCACTCTTTACCCAAATCACAATTAATCGTGAAATCTTCTGACCACCGTCACCTAAATCTAACAGGAGGCTCTGCTGGCTCCACAGAGCAGCTCAGCCCCTCACAGCTCAGGGTCCCAACTATCCAGTAGCAGGACACGTGGATTCTGGACAGCGGGCACCTGAGGGGTGTGAACAGAAAGCTAGAGAAGAAACACCCCGGTGGTGACACTCACTGACTTGTCATCATTCTCACAACACCAAGAGTAGGTGACACCAGGCAAAGGGAGAGGGACCCAGGATGACATGGTGCAAATGTCCAGGTTTAGGACAAACACACAACCAAGGGATTGGGATGTTTATCACGTACAGAGTTGAAATCTCTGGGAAGCAGAGGAAAGGCCCTTCAGCAAGTCAGAGGGGCTCTCGTGGAGCCAGGAGAGGGGACTGGCTCAGGGAGTTGATCTTGGCGAGGTGGAGGAGAGGGAGGAAATCTAATCCCAGGGTCTGGTGTGTTTCAATCTCCCCAGGACATCTACAGAGGAGACCACCTTTCCTATCAGATTCCCTAGTCGGGCAGACAAAGAAGAGGCAGGAATGAACCATCAGTTATCAGCAGTCACAGGAGAAGGAAAATAGAGTCTGGCTACAAATTTCATTGAACGATTATAAAAACTGAGCAGAAACAGAGATAAGGCTCATGTGTGTACAAAAGACGGTCTACAGAAAATGAAAAAAATGTTAATAAATAAGCAAATGATGATGATGGTGATGATGGTGATGATGATGATGATGGTGATGATGGGAATGATGAGGATGGTGATGATGGTGATGATGATGATGATGATGTTGGTGATGATGATGGTGATGGTGATGTTGGTGATGGTGATGATGGTGATGATGGTGATGACAGTGATGATGATGCTGGTGATGCTGATGGTGATGATGATGGTGATGTTGGTGATTATGATGATGGTGATTATGATGGTGATGATGATGATGGTGATGATGGTCATGATGGAGATGATGATGATGGTGATGGTGATGATGGTGATGATGATGATGGGCTGAGGCAGGTTTGAGCCCAGACACAAACCTCTCTGCAGGAGAGGCTGCGGCCACCAGGGGGCTCAGGGGCCCTGACCACAAGGACGTCCAGGAGCAGGTGTAGTGGGTGGTTTGGCTGTTTCCTGGGTGGTTTCCTCTTCAGGTCACAGTTTCCCTCAGGAACCTCTGTGCATTCCTGATTCTGCGCTTTCCTCTGACGTCTGTCAGAATAGTCTGTTGTAACCGGAGAACTTTCTCACATGGACAACAGGCTGAGAGACTTTTTCTGACACTATTGAACTCAAATGACAATTAATCATCAAATCTGACCACCGTCACCTAAATCCAACAGGGAGCTCTGCTGGCTCCACAGTGCAGCTCAGCTCTGCACACATCAGGGACCCAGCCAGGAAGCAGCTGGACACGGTGGGGGGTGGACAGCAGGCACCAGAGGCATGTGCCCCAAAGCTAGAAAAGAAAGAGCATGGAGGCTACGGTCATTGAATTGACCCCAGACTCACATCACCAAGAGTAGGTGACACCAGGCAGAGGCAGAGGGACCCACCCTCCTGGGGAGTGGTTGTTTAGGCTGATGATGTCACACACACAGACGGACGAGTCAAAGGTTGGTCAGTTCATGGGGGTGCTGCTGAGAGACTACAGGCTGTTCAGCAAGTCAGAAATGGTGGGATCGGCCAGGGGAGGACACTGGCTCTGGTTTCCACTGTGGGTCAGGAGTGGGGAAAGTGAGGGTCCTGCTCACAGACCCTCACACTGACCTGCTCCTTCTCTGGGTTCTCCCTGAGCACAACTGGTGTGGGTGTCGGCTGGATCCGGCAGCCCCCGGGAGGTCCTGGCGTGCCTGGCACACGTGTGGTGGGAGAATGACCAGCATTACAGCCCATCTCTGAAGGGCAGGCTCACAATCTCCAAGGACACCTCCAGAGCCAGGTGGTTCTCACCATGACCAGGGTGGACCCTGCAGACACAGCCACGTGTTACTGTGCAAGGCTGGCTCAGAGGCACAGCCCGGGGGCCTCCTGGACAAGAACCTGGGGTCTCAGCGGGGCCCCCGAGTCCAAGGAACAGGAAAGGGGGATGGCATTTCCTGCCAGGCTCTGCGGGTCCTGCCCCCTCCTGCAGCCTCGGAGCCCCACTTCCTTCTCTCCTCCCCCAGGAGACCCAGGGCCCTGTGGGTGGTGCAGACACATGAGGGCTGAATTCTGTTTCATGAACGTTCCCCTGACACGGTCAGTACATAGGGCGGCAGTGTCACCCACCGGGTGTCACAGCCTCATGGGACCCTGTCCCTCCCCTGAGAGAACTCAAACACTCAGTCCACCTGAGTTCAAAGATGGGGTGTCATGTTCGAGGAGCCCCAGCAGATAAGGGAGCTGGGGGAGATCAAGGACCTCAGACATGAGCTCCTCCTGCTGTGCAGACGGACACAGAGGCCCAGGAGCCCCANCTGAGCACAACTGGTGTGGGTGTCGGCTGGATCCGGCAGCCCCCGGGAGGTCCTGGCGTGCCTGGCACACGTGTGGTGGGAGAATGACCAGCATTACAGCCCATCTCTGAAGGGCAGGCTCACAATCTCCAAGGACACCTCCAGAACCAGGTGGTTCTCACCATGACCAGCGTGGACCCTGCAGACACAGCCACGTGTTACTGTGCAAGGCTGGCTCAGAGGCACAGCCCGGGGGCCTCCTGGACAAGAACCTGGGGTCTCAGCGGGGCCCCCGAGTCCAAGGAACAGGAAAGGGGGATGGCATTTCCTGCCAGGCTCTGCGGGTCCTGCCCCCTCCTGCAGCCTCGGAGCCCCACTTCCTTCTCTCCTCCCCCAGGAGACCCAGGGCCCTGTGAGTGGTGCAGACACATGAGGGCTGAATTCTGTTTCATGAACGTTCCCCTGACACGGTCAGTACATAGGGCGGCACTGTCACCCACCGGGTGTCACAGCCTCATGGGACCCTGTCCCTCCCCTGAGAGAACTCAAACACTCAGTCCACCTGAGTTCAAAGATGGGGTGTCATGTTCGAGGAGCCCCAGCAGATAAGGGAGCTGGGGGAGCTCAAGGACCTCAGACATGAGCTCCTCCTGCTGTGCAGAGGGACACAGAGGCCCAGGAGCCCCAGGAGGGGAGCAGCTTATGAAAGGGGGACCCACAGGGACGCTGCCCTCGCCGGGGAGTGTGCTGGGTGGCCCTGCACAAATGCACCTTGAGGGACCGACACGGGAGCCGAGACTGACAAACCCCGATCCCAGGACTTGCCTGGTGCCCAGAGAGCCCAGGAGGAGCCTCGGTAACGACTTGCCCAGACCTGGAAAGGGAGCCACCAGCTCTGACTCCAGAGGCACCTGCATCCAGTCTGACCAGTGATCGGGCAGAAAGGCAGCAAAGCCTCTCTCATGAGGCCTCAGGGTCGAGTAGGTGTGAAAAGAGAATCGTTGGGTTTTATGAAAACCCTCCCAGGACTAAGAATCACTGGACTCTGCAAATTACTAAACATGCAGAGAAAGAGAGAACTGGCCTGATAGAGACCATGAGTGAGCCGGTGAGTCCACGGACCCAGAATCACAAATTTTCAGGAAAGGTGCAAATCACGAAATGTGTCACAGGAAACAGTGATCATGACAATGAAAGTTTGGTAGAAAACCTAGATTCATAGAAGAAAAGCAAACTAAAAATCAGAATTAATGAAAATTTAAAGGGTTATTGGCCTAAACGACATTAAAGGGAGCGAGGCGAAGATCCTGCAATGTCCTCACTACAACAGGACTGTCTCCAGGACGGATGGGACGTCCCCAAACATAAATGCAAAAACCCTCAACAATGCCCGAGGAACCGTGACAGCACATTGGGAGGATGGTTTCCCTGGTCCAGTCGGGCTCGGTCCCGGAATGCAGGGACGGCTCACCTAGGGAACCAGGAACCGGGCCGCACCTCCTGCCCAGAATGAACCACAAACTGCACCCTCAGGTTCCTGGTACAGAGACAAGAGGTGGGCGTGTAGGTAACCGGGGTACCTGCTGCCTCCCAAACCACATCAAATTACACCTAAAACAGAGCAACCGTCACTCAGAGCCTCCTGAGGTCTAGCTGCACAGAGCCCTGCAACCAGGGGACTGAGAAGGAAGGAGACCAGGAGGAGGCGGAGACGCGGGCAGATCAGGGCTGAGTCACAGACAAGGCCTCGGGCCCAGAACCGGTGCCTTGGTTTAAAACCGGGAGCGATAGCTCGGCGTGGACGTTACCCAGAGGGGCACAGGGTCCCAGCCCCACAACAGGACCCCCGCCCAGGGTTCCAGGGTCGGGATGAGACGTCCCCAAAACTTCGGGCTGGGAAAACCAAGGGGAGTGTCACTGAGTGAGGGGAGGGAGGTCCTCTTAAAGGGCCTGCAGGGGACTCACCCAGACCCGTCCCTCTGAGCCCAGGGCCGGGCAGCAGCCTGAAAGGAGCCTGGGACATTCGGGGAGGAAGTAACTGCCTGAATTCGGGGCCAGAGGAGGACGGGCAGNTCCCCACGACTTAGGGCTGGGAAAACCAAGGGGACTGTCACTGAGTGAGGGGAGGGAGGTCCTCTTAAAGGGCCTGCAGGGGACTCACCCAGACCCGTCCCTCTGAGCCCAGGGCTGGGCAGCAGCCTGAAAGGAGCCTGGGACATTCGGGGAGGAAGTAACTGCCTGAATTCGGGGCCAGAGGAGGACGGGCTGCTTTCTCCCAGGCAGAAGAGCTCAGAGGCCACGGCTCCTTTGGAGAGTCCTCCCCCCACAGTCAGCAGGCAGGAGCCAGGCTTGAATCTCCAGCACCTGACTCACTCCTTTGGCCCCACCCAGGTGATTCCCTGAGAACCTGCCCCTCCCCACCTGCAGGCTCCTCCAGGCCATTTCCAGAGGCTTTTCTATGCAAGTGGCCTCTCTACCCTCATCCTGGGGACTTTCCTAAAATCTCTCAAAGAAGCAGCAGCGTGTTCCATGCACCCTGATAAGTGGCCCCAGGCCTGGCACGAGCGACACCTGCTTTGGTTCATATCCTGGCCTCAACTGGACACCTCCAGGCCCAGCACAAACACCAGCCATCCAGGGACTGCTGTGTAGCTCATGCTAGGTGGCCCTGGGCAAGGAACTGGCACAGGCTGACTTTGCACCTCCCGGGAGGCCCCAGAGATAGTGCACCGGGTGCTGNGCACCAGGTGCTCAGACTCGACCACGCTGGATCACAGCCCTGCCACATCCACGAGTGACACTCAAGAGGCGCACTTGGTGATNTACCACATCCACGAGTGACACTCAAGGGGCCCACTTGGTGATCACCAAAGCTCCACAAAAGTAATCCTGCTCCACAGGGGTGTCCCCAGCACAGCAGCTGGTCCTCACAGCCGGTTGGCNTCCTGCTCCATGGGGCTGTCTCCAGCGCAGCAGCTGGCCCTCACAGCCGGTTGGCCTGGGGGTCAGTTCCTCCCAGTGACACCAATAGCAACCAAGGCTCAACTACAGCAGGACAGTGCACACGGCCCACACAGGGAAGCAGCAAGAAGGCCCAGCTCAGGTGACTGCGGAAGCTGGGCCCCTGGGCCCTACAGGACACCTACTGCACAGAGCCACTCTACCAATTCCAGGAGACACAGCAGCTCTACCTAATACATACAAACAAACACCCAGAAGCAGCCAAAATGTGAAGGCAAAGAAACATGTCACAAAGGAAAGAACAGAAGAAATCTCCAGAAGAGGAACTAAATGAAATAGAGCCAAGTAAGCCCTGGAGAGAGTTCAGAACACTGGTTATAAGGATGCTCCGGGACCTCAGTGAGACCATTAAGGAAACTAGTGAGCCCATCGGTCACATAATAAAGCACAAGTCAGAAGGGGAGGCTACAGGACTGAGAGGAAGAATTATTTACGGGAACCGAGAGCAGAGTAGTGGACACTGAGAATCCCATCAGCAATTTGGAACATGAGGAACCAGAAAACACCACCCAGAAGAGCAAGAAGAAACAATCCAGAAACACGAAGGTGGTGGGAAGGGCCTCGGGGACAATTACAAGGGGCCCTACCTTCCCCTGTAACACTGTGTGAGGGACACAGTGAGGGGAGGTCAGTGTGAGCCAGACACAAACCTCCCTGAGGGAGTGAGGGGGGCCGGGGTGCAAGAGGTATGAGGACACCAGGGGGGGCTCAGGGGACAGAGATCAGAGCACCCAGCCCAGGAGCAGGAGCAGGGGAGGTGAAGTCCTCAGTCCCTGTCCTCTCGGCAACTTCCTCTGCTTCTGACATTTCCTCCTCAATCTTGTCCAGAGTCCTGGTCGGGACACAGAACAGAAGACTCAGCACCAAACAGCTGGTCAATCTTGCTGAAGGTGACAGGCCTCGGGGTCATTGTCCCAGCTCCCGGCACACAGTGACAATGCCGTGGGCTCTCTGCACACCAGGAGGGCCTCACTCCCATAGTGGCTTCAGAAGATGAGTTTGATGATGCCACTGTCCCAGGGGACCAGAGGACCTTCAGTTCCAACATAATTGAGGACTCAGGAGGTCCGGGCAGGCCCATCAACCAGGAGAAATGACCTCAGAGACCAGGACAGGGGACTGGCTCAGGGTGTGTTGTGTCAGGGAGTGAGGGCTGGTGGGGTCCCTGTGTGGAGCAGGGGCAACCAGAGATGGTTCCCCCTCTGCTCTGTCTCCCTCTGCACAGCCTCCTGACAGCCTTGTCCCCACTGACCACGTGCAACCTCTGGACTTAATTCCCTCCTGTAGCTCTCTCAGGAACCTCCCCTGTGCGTCTCTATCACGCCCTTTTCTATGATCATTTCCATTTTATGATATTTCATGTTAAATTTCCTAGGAGCCTAATCTAATGAAACATACTGACTATATTCTCAAGTAATTAACACTCTAAAGTATAATTTAATGCATTAATATTCAGACTGAGCCTCAGCCCCAAGCAAGAAAGGCTGCTCTGCCGGGTCAGAGGTTAGGAAGTCAGAGCTCAGTGACCTTAGGTGGTCCATCCAATTTTGCTCTAGTGTCTCCAGTGCCATCTCCATTCATAACTGGGCTTCCTGAGGTCACGCCCAAGATAATGGCCCAGCTCCTCCCTCCAGGACCTGAGCTGATGGGGATCTGACAGGACACCCACCTGTCACCATGGACCCACCATGGGCTCCCCTCCAGCCATTGAAAGGGAAGCCACCTAATTCAGGCCCCACCTCCCAGGGAGAGGGAGAGGTCACTCCTGACCGGCTCGGACCCTGTTACTCATGGGTGTGCTATTGCTAATGGCAAGTGTCTGTTATAACTACTCCCCAATAGGATGGTGTCTGATTCCTACATGAGATCCCAGGGGAGGGTTTCTAAGGCCACTGAAATTGGGGATTGTTGAGGGACAGAGGGTGGACATTGGTATCAAAAGCATGGGTCCTGTCATTCTGTGTCACTAAGATTCCCCTCATCACTCAGATTTCCTCTGTCACTTGATAGTGGCCCAGAGCCCAACAGAGACTTCAGTTGTACCTCCCAGATCTCAGTGAACCTGACTCACCTTAGCTACCCTAGGACCACCTCACAGGTGATGCACAACCTTCTCCATGGCAGTGAGGACTCTGGGGCCACAGCTGGATACAGCCCTGAAGTGTGGTTAACACTGGAATACAGGGGTTCATTGGGGCTCTCATTACATCCAAGGGGTTCTGCTTCCTCCGGGGCAGGTGCAGCTGTGTCAGGAGTAGTTTCAGGGAAGCAATGGGAGCCAGTGGGAGGATCAGAGCCTTGAGGCTGTGTCACTGTTACCAGACGTGGTCTCATCAACAAACCCCAAACCTCCTATAATTCTGTATTTAGTGGGTAAAAAGCTACCGGGGCAACCAAATGCCCTAGAAACTTGTCACCTGCACTAAGTTACTGCCTTATCTGTAGGTTCACCCCTGAGCTCTCTATATAGCAGGAGGACATGCAAATAGGGCTCCTTCTGGTCATAAAAACCAGCCAGGCCCCGACCCTGCAGCTCTGAGACAGGAGCCCAGCCCCGGGATCCCCAGCTGTTCTCATTCCCTGAACAGGACTGAACACAGACCACTCACCATGGGGCTTGGGCTCAGCTGGATTTTCCTTGTTGCTATTTTAAGAGGTAATTTATGGAGAACAAGAGACACTGAATGTGTGAGTGGACATGAGTGAGAGAAACAGTGGATGTGTGAGAGTTTCCTGACCAGGATGTCTTTGTGTTTGCAGGTGTCCAGGGTGAGGTGCAGCTGGTGGAGTCTGGGGGAGCCGTGGTGAAGCCTGGGGGGTCTCTGAGACTCTCCTGTGCAGCCTCTGGATTCACCTTCAGTAGCTATGGCATGCACTGGGTCCGCCAGGCTCCAGGGAAGGGGATGGAGTGGGTCTCACACATTAGTAGTACTGGTGGTAGCATATACTATCCAGACGCCGTGAAGGGCCGATTCACCATCAGCAGAGACAATGCCAAGAACACGCTGTATCTGCAAATGAACAGCCTGAAACCTGAGGACTCGGCCGTGTATTACTGGGCGAGGGACACAGTGTGGGGAGGTCAGTGTGAGCCCCGACACAAACCTCCCTGCAGAAGGGGCTGAGGCCACCAGGGTGCTCAGGGGCCCTGAGCACAAGGACCCTCCCAGGAGCAGGTGCAGTGGGCGCTTTCGGCTGTTTCCTGGCTGGTTTCCTCTTCAGGTCACAGTTTCCCTCAGGGAACCTCTCTGGATTCCTGATTCTGCGCTTTCCTCTGAGGTCTGTCATTTAGAAATGTATGCTGTAAACAGAGACGACTTTCTCACATGGACAACAGGCAGAATGTCTTTTGCACGCACTCTTTTCCCCAAATGACAATTAATCGTGAAATCTTCTGACCACCATCACCTAAATCTCACAGTAGCCTCTGCTGACTCCACAGATCAGCTCAGCCCCTCACAGCTCAGGGTCCCAACTATCCAGCAGCAGGACACGTGGGTTCAGGACAGTGGGCACCTGAGGGGTGTGAACAGAAAGCTAGAGAAGACCCAGGTGGTGACACTCATTGATCTGTCATCATGCTCACAGCACCAAGAGTAGGTGACACCTGGCAAAGGGAGAGGGACCCAGGATGACATGGTGCAAATGTCTAGGTTTAAGACAAAACACACAACTAAGGGATTGGGATGTTTATCACGTACAGAGTTGAAATCTCTGAAAAGCACAGGAAAAACCCTTCAGCAAGTCAGAGGGGCTCTCATGGAACCAGAAGAGAAGACTGGCTCAGAGCTTTGATCTTGGCGAGGTGGTGGGGAGGGAGGNCTCAGGGCTTTGATCTTGGCGAGGTGGTGGGGAGGGAGGAATTCTGCTCCCAGGGGCTGGTGTGGCTTCAATCTCCCGAGGACATCTACATAGGAGACNGGGAGGGAGGAATTCTGCTCCCAGGGGCTGGTGTGGTTTCAATCTCCCCAGGACATCTACAGAGGAGAACCCACCTTTCTTATCAGATTCCCGTGTCGAGCAGACAGAGAAGAGGCACGAATGAGCCATCAGTTGTCAGCAGTCACAGAGGAAGGAAAATAGAGTCTGGCTACAAATTTCTCTAAACAATTACAAAAAATGAGCAGAA